GGGAAAAAGTTGTAAAAGTTGGTTAGAAAATCGGGAGAATTCCAACACGTACGATTTCTTTTTTTGTTTCTCATAATAAGCGTAGGCTTTATTACTTACGATGTGTAACGAGGACAGTTTAAAATTTATAAATGCAATCTCGTATTCGAATTAGTTAAAATGATATCGAGATAATTTTTTACGATTTTGAATATTGGCGGAGACCCCTGTGCCGTCCCTTCCTTCCACAGTAAGCGAGGTAGCTGCGCGCTAATAATTAATAAAGCATGGCTGTGTCAAAGCGGTAGAGACGGTGTCGAGATCGAAAACGGACGGCAACGTGATCTGTGCCGATGCGTGCAAACGACCGAGATAATCCGGTGATAACGCGTCGACGACTAGTCTATCGGTTATAATCCGACGCCGGATCCGCTTCTCCGTACGCGTTTCGTTATCGTTTCGTAATTATGCAGGAATTATATATCCAAGCGGGAGGAAAATACGATCCTTCGTGTTTCTCTCGCCTCGAAAACCGTTTAGATTCGGCGAATCCGACACGTCCGCCCGACAAATTGTCGCGCGAGAGACGGATCGTTTTTTTTATCCGTCCCTTCTCCTCGAAGCGAGGACGCGCGCAAAAACTTGCCCAACCGCCAGGATTGACTTTCAAATTCGAGATTCCTCGATCGGTCTTCTTCTCGCGCTTCCACCATCCCCCCCATCATTCGACGCGTGCTCCTACGAGATCTATTTCGTAACTGAAAATCGTTCAAAACCGAGCACGCGATGCGCTCGTTTGGAGGAGAGTCTCTAAATTCCCACTCGCCACGCGGTATAAGAGATATCCTCGTTTCTTCCCCGGCTCTCTACTCTACCGACACTCGAGCGACACGATATTCTTCCGGATAAACGCGAAAACTGGTTCCCTCGAGAGGCAGGGAGAGTTCTATCGAGTTTAAAATGGATCGGAGAAACGATCAGGCGGGGAAAAGGCCTAATTTCTAAAAGGCGATCGAACGCGGTGCGTCGTTATTACGCGCGATGTACGTACGTACACGACTTGGCGGGGCGACGACGGTGGGTGGTGGGAGGCGGAGGTGGCGCGCGGTTCAAGACCACATTCCATTTGCCCGTGGTGGCGCAAAAAACGGTGAAATGTTCGTCCGCTTTACCACTTCTTACCGTGTTAACCACGCGTGCGCGCGATACCGATGCGCGATCACGATGCGCACCAACGAAACGTACGCGATTCCTTCCTCCCTACTCTTTTTCCAACCGTTCTTTTCAAAACCGCCACCGATTCAGCCTACTTACGAACACACGCTTCTTGCTAACAGCACTCCCGATCCAGTTCCATCTATTGTCGCGAATCTTGCCACGAGCGAACCAATCTTTCGCGGCGTTATGTACTATTAGCTGTTAGCATAATGTTAATTAATCCACGGCATGACTCGATCGTTATCCACCTCACGATACCTCGCGGAGTAAAGAATCGATATCCCGGATGTATCTCTCTCTCGTTCGTTATGTTATTACGTTCGAGGTGTAACCCGTGCTATTTCCAATTCGTCGCTAATCTTTCGAGACTATTCTTCGAAAGGAGAAGGAAAGTATCCGAGCTTTCTTCTTCGATCCACGGATTCATCGATCGGGAGGAAAGGTCGTAACGCTTTCACCGGGCCACGATTAAGCGACGAGAGGCGAAATGGTCGATCACGTCGTCGGGTGGTTAACGATTATCGCCACGAGCGATCCGAATCTGCAACTGGTTTCGAGCACGGTGCAAGATTTATACACTGTTTATCGGCCGACAACTGAAATTACACGCGACTTGTCATCGATGGGGAGGCGGGTGTGTTCCACTTGCTTCCGGAAAATACGTTTCGAGCGCTACGCCACTCGATAATCGAATCGGCCAATTATTCGCCCTTTTCCTTCTCATTGAGCAGCGGATTACATCCCACTCGGAATGGTATTAGGCGAGTTGACGCTGCCGATAAACGTCCGCATGCCGTGCGAACCGAGCGTACCACGCCTAGCGTAAACCGATCCGTACGCCTCGAAATTCCCCTTGAAACATCTTCATTCCCTCTCGCCTATAATAAGAGAAGTAATGCTCCTTAGTCAATCTGTTGTTCAACCGACGATTAAAGATGAAAGCTCTCGAGGCGTTTAAGAATGGATGTTCCGAAAGACGAGGAGGAAGTTATTATTAAACGTTGGAAGGAATCGTGGTCGTTCTATCTCGGAATAGAGTGGAGACAATTGCACAGATAGAATCGATGTAAAAACCAGTTCACGTGGAGCGCGTAGGCGAGAGACGATTCGCGCGTTTCTTAATTCGAGTCACGGACTCGATTATCGTTTCGCAACGATGATTCGATTAATCGGTTACGAATCATACGAGAGAAAGCTGCTCGCACGTGCGCGCAGCTTTTAATCGCATTCTTCCCCGAAGATCGAACTTCCGGGACTCCTACGCTCGCGAAAATTTACTTGGATCGCCTTTCTCGAGGGCAAATCCAATCCTCCTAGTCGCGCTAACGAGAGAGCAAGCTTCGAATAAACACCGCTCTTCGTCCTAACAAGCATCGTTATCGCCAGCCGACGATAAGAGGAAGATCGATCCTCGCGAAAAATCCGATAAAACCGTCGAATGCGCGATCGAGATCTCACGCGCGAAGATAAACGGGTGGGCAAGGATCGCGAGAGACACGCAAGCATTGTCCAGAGACGCAGGAAGGGGGGGGCGACGCGGCGCTGCGCAATTCTTTCTCAGCCAAAACATTGGTTAGACTCGCGCCACGAGTCGGTGTGGTTCGAATGGGCCTGTCGAGTGTGCACACTTATCTCTGGTGGAAAAGAGAGAGAGAGAGAGAGAGAGAGAGATACGTAAGTAATAACGGCGAATCGATCGACCACCCGCGAGACGAGAAAAATTTCTCTCCCTCCCTCTAGTAGTAGTTCACCGATGGTGGTCAAATCTCGGGAAGGCAATTTAACCGCCATCTCGTTATATATGTTATACGTACAAGGCGGTTACAACCGTTCGGGAATGTCTTATTCGTGGCCACGAATCGACAGTCACGAACTCGACGACGCCGTTCCGAAAATTGCGGGAAACGAAATAATGGTAGAAGACGCACGGTTCACCGATCGTCTCTCGTGATTTCGTGCTCCCTCGTGCTTACCCCGTGTTTCATTCACGAATTGGATGCCTCGAGCGAGAATGTTAATGAGAATTGGCCGTTGATCCTGAACAAGAACACGATTCGTTTTCCCCAATTTTCGCTCGGAACAAAAAGGGATCGAAATCGTATTCGATGATGCTTGGTTCATACATTATGCATCGCGGTACAAGCGGCGAGTATAAAATCTCGTTTCCTTGGCGAAGGCAAACAACTTAATGCACCGCAACTGGAAATACTCGGGTCGCTTGATTTTTCAATTTCGATTTTTATTACGCGGAAAAAATTCGAAACGGAAAACTCGTAGCGAGAAGATAGCGCTACGTGCTGGCCATTATATAAATACTTTACCGAGAGAGGATTAAACAGGCGACAGTGGCGGCAGCGGCGAATCCGCGTACTTTCAACGGATTCGTCGATGCCTGCCACCACGAGTCGTTGCACGATAAAAAGGGAAGGAATTTTGTTCGAAGTGGACTCGATCGACGTGGAAAATCTTGCTTGCGATGATCGATAAATCGATCAACGATGAATTCGAAACCGGGGAAGCGAATTCACTACGCCACTGCGGAATGAAATTTATTACCACGGTCAGGCTATTCGTCAAGAACGATCGCGAGCCTGAATCTCGGCGCAAACGTATTACAAAGATCCGGCAAAGATCGAGAGGAGACCGTCTTTACTCCTCGAATCGATTTGTCCTCCACGATTCTTTATTCACCCGCGACCATCGATTTCCCATTCTTCCGCTCTCCCCCTTTATGCCCCCAATCCTATCCATCTTCCAATCGTAGGCCGATGAATAACGTTAACGAATAGGGTTCCATGAAATTTCATCGTAAAAAGAAGAAAAAGAAGGAAAAAACAGTCAACCTTCCTTCTCTCGCGTTAATCACACACCGATCCCCGTTCACTTTTCTCGTCTCTATCCTCGATTAAAGCAACGAGTATTTATTAACCTAGAACACGTTGAATCCCCTTCCTCCTCCTCCTCTTCTTCCTCTGTACACGCGATTATAAACGCGTTACCAATCGTGTCGAGCGTATATCTTTGCCCACGTAGCAAGGATACAAAGGCTAGAGGGATAGGCCGGTCAATAAGAATTATCGCGTTACAACAAGCGAAAAAACCTTTGACCGGCGGAAACGAGACGATTGTCACCGCGGTCCATCGAATCGGATCAAGAAAAGATCGAGAAGAGGAGATCGAGTCACAAAGTGATCGCGACGTTTCGTTACGCCAGCCTATTGTCTCTATCCATAGATACTCGACCCACTTAAACTGCGACTCAATTACGCGCACGACCTATCCTCCTCCTGCTCAATTCGCTCGGATCAAATCGATAAACTCGATCTCGAACCAGCTGCGTTCCGAGAGAGAGAGAGAAAAAATGCAGCCAGACTAATCTGTATTCCCACGGGAGATCGGCCATTTCGCTCTTCTCCCTCTCCTCCCTCATTAGATTTACGAGCTTTCTACTCCACATTCCCGATGATGAGAGAGAGAGAGAGAGAGAGAGAGAGAGAGCAATTGAAATGCAAGACAGATTAGAATTATCCGCTACTGGCTAATTCCGAGCGCGTCGGTAGCGGCCAATTAACGTTAAACACGAAACCAACTTTTCTAACGATCCCACTTTCAAAACAATACGTGTCTATCTCGTATTTCGTTCGTATCCGTTCCCCCGTTTCGATGTATTCGATCGATAAGCTCGAGTCGACAACCTAACCTCACCCGTCCGACCGATAAACTCGATAATTAAAAATTTTCGCCCGCTGCGAAAATTTTCGAATCCCAAAATGATACGAAGGGATTCTCGGTTATTCTTGCAGACCACGAACGTGGGTGGCGGCAGCGTGGTGGAGAAGCTGTCTTTCTACAATCACACGGAATGCGAGTGCCGAGAGAGGACCGAATACGACGCGAGCAACGAGAAATCGGTGGAGCACAGAGTGTACAGGCACCATCAGTCGCAACCTCAAAACATGAGAAGGGCACAGCCGAGAAAACCGTGAGTTCTCTTTCGCCTCTGTCTTTCGCCTCTTCGAGAAAAAAAATTAATCTAATCCTATTTTCGAATTGATCAGGTGCCGGTGTCCCTCGGAATTCACACCGAGGATCACCGTGGATGGCGTGTGCCAGTGCAACTGCTACGAGAACCGTCAAAACTGTATCAAGATCAGACGAGGGAAAGGTTACTTCTCTCTCGCCGACAGATTGTGAGTAAATAACCGTTCCCGCGTATTTGCCAGCGATCATCGATGTTCGAATTCCCTGCGTTTATTTACAGGTGTATACAAAACGAAGAGTGCGCGATGCCTAGCTGTGAGTTTGGTGAATACATGAGGCGACAAGGCAAGTGTCCCCGGAAAAAGGACAAATTCGACACGATTGTTAATCATTACACGAACCATCACCGGTACAGGAGCTAGAGGGAGGTAGGAGGAGCGAGAACAAATCGTGCCAGTGGAGGAAGAGGAGGAACGTGATGAAAAAAACGTGCGAGAGCGCGACGAATAATCAACGGTGCCATTTTCCTTTCCGAGTGCCTTTTGCGGAAGACTCGATATATACATATGTATATGTAATAATACTCTTCGAACCAATTTACACGTATTTCCATCCCGGACCTTACCGCCATTATATCCCTATTTTTCTACTACTATCGTACTTGTAACGTCGAAATCGAGAAGAAGAGGTACATTGATCGAAACGGCTCGACGAAACGCGAAGATTCGTCGAGTGATTCGAGATTACCGCGCCCCTTCGTCTTAATTCTCTCTTCTGTCTTCCTTTGATATTTCGACCAGTGAAATTTCAGAACCCGAGTTTCGATTCAATGGACTCGAAACGTGTCGAATCATCTTTCGATCTTGTAAATCGTGAATAATCGTGATCTGCTCGGCTTATTATAAGTTGAAAACTCGTTACAGATCTGAGAGATGGAATTACTCTTGATATAATAATAATAATAGACTCTATTGTCATAGGACGACGAGCCTAGTCCGAGATCCTGTCTCCATTCTGCGCCAGACGATTCCCCTCGAGAGTTCGATGAACTTATACAGTCAATCGCCCGTGCGAAGGACACCGACGGTCGTATACCAAAGCGAGGAAATATAGTAAACGCGAGAAGTAATTGCGCGCAAACTTAACGTAAATCTCTCGATATTCTCCTACGATTTTATGTTCACGCGTAAATGTGCAAGGGATATTCGTGTTCATCGACGAGCAAATCGAAAAAAGCGAAAAACGAACGATACGAACACGAGAGATATAAATAACTTTTTTCTTTCCCGATGAACCCATCGTAGGATCATCGCCTATCTGTACAGATGATGGATCTTGCGAGTATACGAGATAAGAATATTGTATTTAAGTATACGAGAAGAGAAAGAAGAGAAAAGAAAAGAAAGGAAGTAAAAAGTACCCGATGCATCCTTCGAATCGTGAGTGTTTTCGTATCGTATTCTCTTAATCGTGTTTTCTACGCTTTATTATCGTAGTATGTACTTATGTACTTACGTATGTAATAGCCAACTTAATCGTGAAACCGATTTGACAGCTTGCCCATCATTTACGAGCCAATCGAAACATCGTGTACAATTGTGTATAGATCTACGTTTTAAGATTTTACTTGCATTGATTTTTCACTTTCGATACTTTTATGCACGTTCATTTTCATATTATGCGAAACATGAAACAAGATACAAACTCGGCTACGGATGGCGTTCAATCGTGTCATTTCCCGCGCAATCAACAATTTTTTTTTAATTTTGATCTATGATTCAATGTATGTACGTGATAAGTCAAAGGCGTTCTTTCATTTTTTTCTGCCTAATTTTCTACTATCAATCGTGAAAATGTACAGAACGCCGTTTAACATTCAGCTTGCTGTTGTACTCGCTACCAATTCTAGCCAATATACATATATGTATACATATATAAATATAGACGTAGTCAATAAATCAATAAAGTTGTATAAAAAGATTCATGAATATATATAATTTCAATAAAATTATAACTTTAAATAAAATTTTTGTAGAATTTTATTTCATTCGAAAACACTTTTACGCTATTAATTACTCGCACAAACACTAATTATATATTTTTCATAGAAAGAGGAAGAAAACCTTGTTAAACATCATCGGATCACTATGGCCATCTAGTAGTTATGTTAGAAAGCGATGCTTTTAGTAATTCACTAGACGATTCAAAAACGATAGATCTATTCTTTAAATTAAAGCATAGATGAAAAATAGAATAGATGTGACAACTTAATGGAATTTTGCCTCGCATGTTTTAACATATCGATCTTAAATAGTATTTTATATTCCTATATTTCATAATTTAAAAAAAAAATGAAGGACAGAAATTTAATTTTATAATAAATTAATTTTAATAAGTTAACTATTACTAACAATTAACTATATTCGTTTTTATATGAATAAAAAGACAATTAATAAAATTCTATTCTAAATATGACTATTTTTATAAAATAAAAATAAAATGTTACTTGATATAAAGGATTCATTGATTATAAAGTCATCGTAATGTTTCTTCGATGTTATTCTGGCAATCAAATAATAATTTGAAAAAATGAATATTAGGATTATTGAAACAAACGAAATTAAAATATTGAATAACTGAATATTGAATAATATAATATAAGGTATTAAACATAGTATCGAAGATAAAAGTATAAAAAAATAAAAAAAAGTCAAAAGACTAATTAATTTAATTATCATAATGTTTACAAAATAAATTGTTACTTGTGTAAAAAAACATGCGATTTATTTATTCGTAAATAACGTAAAACAACAATTTTCAATATTGAATCGATAACAAAAAAGTCATAACGTGAAATTAAACAAAGTAAGAATTGATTATCAATGCCAGAGACATCTTTTTAAAAAAGATTTCATATTTCATAGATAGCGCTAATGATTAATTCTTATCTTATGTTTATCTTTCTTCCTCTATTTGTTATCCTTTCTTAATGCACTTTTGTTTATGGTACTTTACAGATGGCGCTGATTCTCTAATTTTTACTATATCTCTTCTTATCTATACTTTCTGTAAAATGGCTCCGATATCTTATTGACAATCGTAAGCCGGTGAGAAAGAAAATATAGATATTAAGTCTATCCTGCATCTGATCTGTGATATTAGTTTCGAGATATTTTTAAGATTCTAAATTTTAAATTGAAACTTTATTTAATATTCTGTACTTTTTCTATAACTTTATTGCTACAAAATGAAGGTTATCGATGACAAGTGACGATGAAACGAATTTGTGTGTTACTATACGTTTTATAACAAAATTTCAGAATTAAATTATCAAATTGAATAAAATAATGATAAAATGTGGGAATATTTATTGATACGCAACAAATCAATTCATTTTTTTTCTTTCTAAACAATATTGTGTTCTATTAATAATATACAATATGTAATGTATACAATATAAATGAAATTACGATGTACGATTGTTGTTATGTAAAATAAAGATACAATCAATATTCATTAATGATATTTTATATAGAAATTTCTTTAATTTTATTAAATTTCAATATTTCTAATTCAAATCATACAAAGTTGTGAAAAAATTATAATAATGGAAACTACTCAAACTTTGTATCTTAACCTCTTTGGTGAAGATAAAATACCTGTTTTAAAAGAAGTAAGTATATATAACAATAATTGTTGTTTTGTATATATATATATATATGTATGTATGTATAAAATGTATATATAAAAATTTGTTTTAATTATTTAGTTATTGCATGCTTGCGTGGATGAAATATGTGGTAGACCAGGTCCAACCTATCATAAGTTTGTAAATAGAATGGATTGGAGTAAAAAAGAATACGAACAAACGTATAAATTAATATCAACCCTCCTAAGAAATCCAGCATCATTGTACGTAACAGAGGAAAAGGTTCGATTAATAGTTCTTAAAAAAAAAAAAAAACCTTTTCTATACCTTTTCTATAAATTTTATCTATATATTTTTAGATGCCGCAAGAGTATCATGAGTTACCGGAACATATACAACAAAATATATTATTATGTTTAAAATTGAGAAGGGAGCAATTAACGGATGCTCTGTTGAAAGAATATTCCAAAGAAAAATACGAGACTGTGATCGATTTTGATTGGAAATTAAAGGTAAAGTAAGAAACTTTGAACTCATATGAAGATACGTACGTTGTTAAATACGTTATTTTTCTAGCTTGTAATGGGTTCCAGTAAATTAGCTTCTTTGAGAGAACCTCTTCTTCAATTAGATCTCATGCTTGAAAGTAAAAATTCAAAACGTATTCTAGATATGGAATTAAATAAGGACGAATTGGATACATTTATAAGTACTATGGAAAGTATCGTTCAATAACGTGAATGTAAATAATGCGTAAATAATTATACAATTAATTTATACAATTAAGATTTTCTTTATAATCGATGCAAGTTTAATCTGTAAATTTTTCGAGATGGAATAAAAACACACGATGTTACACTTGTTTCACAGTTTATTATAGGTTATAGATAAATGTAGAATAGTTTAATTACTATTATAACTGCTCATCGAAGATACTGAAGACTGTTGGTCTGTGTCCGAAGCACCATCGACTCAAAAATCTCATTTATAATTTTGTTCTTCCGACGCGCAAAATAAATAAACGAGGTTTGCGTCGATGGAACCTCAGGATTTAACGATTAATAATTCGAGTGTACAGATCAGTCGGATTTAAAGATTTTTTTTTTTCCTTTTTTTCCCCCTCTTTTTCTTAAATAAAAAGTTCGCTCTCGTCGCCAAAACTTGCCTTGAAAAAACGTGTGAATTTCGTTGTAAAGATCATTACGGACAATATATTTAATGAAAGGTTTACTATACAATTTTTAATTTTACTTCTTCCCCTTACTCATTAATAATATATCGTTTAAAAATCAATGCCGGTCGCGGGCACAATGAACGCTCGCTCCATTCAACACTTACATGTATTCAGAGATTTTGGAGCATTTACATATATACGCTTTTCGTTTATCTTTACGATCTACGCTACGGTCTCAATAAAAAAAGAAGCTTTCGTAGATAATTATTTACTCCTGGAGATCCGTAGAAACGAATCCATTTTGAATGGTAATTGTGCATGTTTCGTAATTGTAATTAGGCGATATTTTAATGATTATTATAAAATTACGAATAGGCTTCCTCGTAAGTATTCTCATATGGAGAAGTAGCATTTTCGAAGGACAAACGCTGAATTTACACAAACGCTTTCTCTATATCTAGATTATATATATCACTTACACTGCCTCGACATACTGTATGTTTTCCTTATCTCGTGTGTTGCATGATACGTATGTACGCATTTGCGTGTAATGTCCTTGCATGTATGTAGTTATGTCGTGTGCTCGCGCGTACCAAAGTCATACGTAGAAGTGTGCAGTTCCTCGTTACAACATAAAACCTGTCGATTGTACAATTACAAAGAAAAACAAGGACCGCGAAAGAAAATACGAGCAAAATAATCGAGCGTCCTTGAAATCACGTTACGAGTTTATCCATTACTCGTGCGCTTTGATATATCTTTTAATAAGTTTTTTCCTTTTTTTTTTTAAATTTTTTTTTATTTTATTTTTTATTTTTTTATTTTTTATTTTTTTTTTTTTATTATACTTCTTGTTCTGCCTTTTTGCCGATCCTATCTCTTCTTCTTTCCTCCCCGTTCACACTCCGTGACATAGAGAGACATATTCCAATTATTCCTTCCTATTTCCTCCTTTGTTCTTTCTTCGACACGCACATTATTCATTCTCTCATACTTCTTTCGAAACTGTCACGCTCTCTCATGCATTCGAACGCACATGTTCTCACGTATACACCTTTGCTCGCTCTCTCTCTCTCTCTCTCTCTCTCTCTCTTTCTCTCTCTCAGTCTCTGATCTTTCGGTTACAGTTTTTCTCGTTCTTTATAACTCTCTCGATATAGCAATACGCGTGTAGTTACGAGAGGGCGTGCCTCGATGAGTATTTCTTTATTTTTGGAATATGCGACAAACGAAGAGATTTCTCCTTTATCGTATATATATATATATTTTTTTTCTTTTTTAACATGTTTTCTTTTTTTCTTTTTAAATTCGAATTCATACCCACTTATTCGCCGCATTATGATCGCATGATACGACTTATGCTTAACAATTGTGACAATTTTTCGATTTTTACACAACAGGGCCCATATATATATATATATATATATATATACTATATATTATATATATATATATGTACATGTATATATATATATATATATATATATTATTATTATGTTGCGAATAAACAAGGCCCAACGTTGAAAATATTTTATTCGTGTAATAATAAAAATAAAAAAAGAAAGTAATAAAAAATCACCTGCTTCGAGATATATATATATACCATCCATTATGATTACATGGCATTACGTGTTTTTCAGAATCAACCGTATTATAACATTTTTTTTTTTCCTCGACCTTATCTGTGGCTCGTCCTCGTAACCTCTTTCCCCGTTTCGATGACACGACTCCGTGTTTTCACGTTTCGTGAACATTTTCTTTCGCCCTGCCGTCTAATAATCGTTAATAGGCCTACTATATAAGTCTATATGCTCTCGCGATGTCGCGGTCACATCGTTCCATCTTCTTTTTCTTTTTTTTTCCTTTTTTTCCTTTTTTTTCTCCCCCTCCCCCCCCCCTTTTTTTGCTCGTAACGAAAGAACGTTATTTTCTGTTTAGTTGCAGGAATGGTCCAAATATACATATCTATATAATATACTTTTTTGGTTTTAACGAGAGAAAAGAACTTTCTTCTTCCCAAAATACAATTCGATTAGCGATGTTTATTCGTTTATGTTGTTTTGGTAACGTGCTTCCGCGATAATTTCCTGCGAACACAAATAAATACAAATCATAGAATTCGATAAAAAAAAAACGTTAATTTACAAGCGTTTTTTTCCTCTACAAGCCAGAGAGACAAGCGTTTCGGGGGGGGGGGGAAAAGGGGAAAAAGAACTTACATTCGTATTACACTCGATGGTTGCCGCCGCAACAGCCTTGTCGCTTATGTCAATTTCTTCGATAGCCTTTAACAAAAGAAACAAGGTGTTTTTTCACACATATGCAACAATAGCAACGACAAGTGATAAAAATGATGATTTTTTTTCTTTTTTAAAAGAGAGGAAAATTAATCAGGACATATATATATATATATATATACACACGGATCAGATGGCCCCTCGCACGTTATTCATCTTAGGACATTGAGCCAATGTCAATGGCCTCGGGATTGATGGCGCAACACGCGCCGTCAATCCTATAGGCGATCATCACGTAACCATGTTGAAATTCGAAGATTGAACTCGCCTCTCGGATATTATTATATCCGTATCATTGTTGTCAGGTTGAAGGTTATCGCACGTACGTACCTTGGCTACCGAGGCAACATCCTCGGTGATGGCTGGGGCAGATGGCGGAGATGCGGTTATCACTTCGCTTGGGACGGCTGGAGATGATGATGTAACCTTGACAGGCTCGGCTGTGCTTTCTGTCGTGCTTGCGTCGTGGCCCACGTTATTTTCCACTGGGGCCTCTGTTGTTGTTGTTGTTGTTGTGGTTGTTGTTGTTATTGTTGTTGCTGGTTGCTCCGGAGTGCTCTGCAAACGCACACAGTATCTCCTCGTTAGATCCTCTTAGATTGCTAGATCCTCCCGGGTGAGGGGAGGGGGGCGGGCGGGGCGGGGGGGGGGGTGGAGGGAGAAAAATCGGAAAGTCCGCAACAAGTCCAAATCCCAGCATGCTACGAGGAACAAAAAAAAAAAAAAAAAAAAGAACGCGAAGATCGATTCTGTCGAGCCTAATATAATAATCGGATCGGAGTGGGTAACGAGAACGATTTTTCCAAGAGATTATTTCGTCGAACGGTTAGAAGAGTTGGGCCAGCTTGAATTCGAACTTGAAAAACTTGGACCGTTGGTTATTAAAGATAAAAGTTGCTTCGATCAACGTTTATTTATTTATTCTTTTTTTTTTAAATTAATTTTGCAATTATTATTATTACGATCGCACGGTGTTTGAAAATTATTTACGAAGCAACAATTATAATACTCGCGAGTTCGCACATCAACAAATGTTGATCGAATTAAATATTTTTCTCCCCCTCCCGCCAACTTGCCGGACAGAATCATCCCTCGTGCTTTCTTTTTTCTTCGACAGCGTATAAAGAAACACCCTGCTAAATTGGATAAACCCCCGGATATAAGAAAATTCTGCATGCGCAATACAAGATGCTTAATACGACACAACAGATGCAATCACGTAAAGAGCATACGATAGTATCGATGTCTAATCGATGTTTCTATATATATAATGGCGTATATAATGAGTTTCTATCTAGCTAATTATATTGTTTTATATATATATATATATATATGTATGTGTGGCGTATATACACACACACACGCACACACACACACATATATATATACGATTAGTTTTATTATAACGTCTATCAATGAGATTCACGCTAAGAAATTCGTCTAAGTCGAGCGAGCTATGATATATATATATATATATGTTATATTAGTGAGCGGCGTTCCGACGAAAAAGAAATTTTCTAACGACTACGACTCGACTAGTAGTAATAAAAGTGGTAGTAAGTGGTAGTAGCAGTAATAGTAGTAGTAGTAGTAGTAATAGTAGTAGTAGTAGTAGTAGTAGTAGTAATAGTGCAGCGAAAACGAAATTTTTCAATTCAATTCAAATATCGCTCGTTTCTCAACGAGCTATGCGTCGAGCTACAATTGTCATCTCTACTTTCAGCGCCTCGATTCGAATAACAAGTCGTGTTAATAATTTGTCAAGAAAACCAAGAGGCAAACAACACAGGTGGTGATATGGTGATATGATATGGTTGTTCCGGTGATCTTGGTCTTGGTGGCATGGAAGCGGCATATTCATATATATATATATAGGAATCAACGTCAGCAACGAGGTTAAACGTTTGGTGTTTTGTTAATCACGTCCGACAGAACGAAGGATGCATTCGACGAGACCCTTTTTCCTTTTTCTTTTCTTTTTTTTTTTTTTTTTTTTCTTTCTTCTTCTCTAAAACCGTCCAAAGGAAGAAGGAGGGAGGGAAAAACACAGTCTTTGATCTAAGGTGGATAATCGTCAAGGAGATAGATAGATAGATAGATAGATAGATAGAAAGAAATTGATAGATACAGAGAGAGGAGGGGGGGGGGGATAAGTGGATTTGGCAAAAAAAAAAAGGATCGTTTCGACGAAATTCGTGCAAAAACAACCCACACTGGGATCGGTCTCGTTCGATTATCCTTCGCCAGAAGAGAGAGAGAAGGAGAAGTGGTGAAGCCAGAAAGATCATCGTCGGAGGGACAAGAAACGAGCGACAGACCACTGGACGGAGTAATATTTATCTAGGAATGGGACGAAGAGAGAGAGAGAGAGAGAGAGAGAGAGAGAGAGAGAGAAGAAGAGTAT